CTAATCCTGAAATGTGCATGATGAAAGTGAGACAACAAATGATTTACAAAGAGCCAGAGGTATTTCAACCATGTCCTTGGTAGCCTTTCCGTAGAGAAAGAGATAAGGCAACAGCTGACGGAGGTAGCACCCATGGAGATTCCTTTCTTGACGTAGGCTCTTATCTGGCCCTTGAAAATCAGTAGGACCATTTGTTCTACCCTACACTCAGGCATTTCCCCCAAGCTCAGGTTGGGGGTACCAATCTGGAACTGGAAGGGTAACTGGTAATAAGTTAAGTATGTGGTATGCCTAGTGTGTGTATATGAGTGTGTACAAGCTCTTGGTGGCCGCATTTTGGGCATTTTCAGATTCAATCCTGTACTAAGAAAATGACCAATCCGTGATGGGAGAAGAAAGGGTTCCCACCTCATCAGATGATTTCCCTGGATAGCACTGCTCCCCCCCCCCCCCCCCACTGGCTCACAAAGGGGAAACGCCCAGTAACGACTGACTGACTTGGAACATATCTGGAGTGGGCTTAAGCACAGCTAAACCCTCACTGGTGTTCAAGTCTGATGCTTGCCTCAGATCTGTGGCCAGGTTAAATTGTCCAAATAAAGGCAAATCTATATCACTAAGCCAGGATTCAGGGCTAGACAGAAGGATGACATCAGCAAATCACATGGTAGGGAGCAGCTGCAGGCAGGTAAGGTTTCCCAAGTGCTAGTTTGGAAATAAATCAACGTCAGTTCCTAATAATATGATTTCAGAGACTTCAACTGTTAATCTTTTAGTAAGAAGTATCGATGAGACCAAGATCCTATGATGAGGCAGGTTAAATAAATAAATAACAAATGATAGCTCGGTTTTAACATTTTATTGGGTAAATGATTTTAAAGGTAATAACAATAGTGTCAAAACTACTACAATATCTTTCCATAGCCATACCTTACAGACCCACATAAGCCTTCTCATAGTTTTTCTTTTTGCTCATTTTTTATTTTAAAGCCATACATGTCATATAAAATGCCCATTTCCAATAGTTTCTTCAAACTATTAAGCAATTTAATGTGGAAGGAAGGAGGACCCAGTTATACTGGAAGGGGGTTCAGGTAATCTGTGATGTCTTACAGTAATCAAAAAACAGGTTACTAAGAAAGAAGGAAAAGAGGAGCTACTCCAGGTAGCTTTTTGCTCATTGCAAGTCTCACCATTGCATTGCCAAGAACTCACTATGCTGGTGACCGATTCAAAGTAATTTTGGGGAACATATAAAACACTAAAATAATTTAGAAACTAGATCCAAATATTTCAAAAGTAATCAACTTTGATATACAAAAGCAGTCAGAGGTGGTTACAAAAGTTTGTTTTCTCAGTGCGTCTATGTACCAGCGCAGTTACTGGGTCCAGAGCAAAATAAAAGGTTCATTTTCTTCTGAAACAGTAATAAAAAAACAAGGAAAACATATCTTTGTATATAAAGGATCAATGCTGGTCTTAAGAATAATGTAATCAGAAACCCTTAAATTGAGAGGCACACAACGGGTTTCTGCTTTTAAAAAATAAAAGGAAAGTCACCAGTTTATTTCGATAGAGGAGGTGCTCACACCCCTCAAATAAACAATTCAATTTAACATCACTAGCAAAAATCACTTAGAAACTGTACAAAAATAAAAAAGTTAACACATTTAATCCTGCAAGGTTTTTGTAAGGACTGGAAGGCAGGCTTTTGGAGCAGCATTTGGGCATGGCTGGGGGCTTCTTTGGTTTGATCTAACACACATAAGAGATGGAACCTATTCCAGATGACAGTTTCAAATTTCCCGCACATTTGAAGACAAGGAAAGAGGCCAGTATACAAACTTCCGGTGTGCTGGGCATTGGGACTGTATGCACTGGACTGAAAAATCTTATAACTGCTTGAAGTGGGGTGGGGGGAAAAGAGCAAGCCTTGCACTTCCTCCATCAATGTCACCGACCACTCACAGTAGGGGAGACTAGAGAGAGTAGTAGCACATTCTCAGTGCAGTCAGAAGGCCACTTGAGGGGTGGGGGGACAATTGTTCTTTTAGAATCTGGTACCTGGCTGACCTTGTTTAAGAACAAGAAAACCCTTCCAGAAATGGAAGCCTTTTGCTACATACCAAGGTAAAATACGTACTATTTTCCAAGAGGAAAAATACCCAGTTGCATTTGGAAACGGAAAACTTAAATGGAACTAATTAACATTTAAAAGGGGCTATGTAAACTTTGTGCTACTCAAATGAAGTTCAAGTATTACTTCTGAGCTGTTTAAAGATCACTGAACTTACACAATATTCTGGTGATAAGAGTGCAATTCATATTTGTGTTTCTGAACAAATAAATCACAACTGGCTAGAACACAACCTGTGCAATTAGAATCTTCTGAGTTAAAGACACATGCTACATATTTCAACATGTTCAAAGTTAATTCACACCACATATTTAACAGCTTTGTAATATATGACAAAGGTGAAAGGGTCTAGCATTTGTTTGTTTGAAGCACACCATTACAGTTTGTATAACACCCTTTACACTACAAAGTCTTTTAATCAACAGCTACTTAGAGACAAATGCACTGTGCATTAACTTGAATACAAAAGGAGACAAAACTATCCTTTTCCCCCAAGCCATGGTGGGAAATATTGCTGACCTCGTCCTTTGAAGCCTGCAGGATGGTTATTTCTTCAGTATAACATTATTACACTGGTAAGAAAATCTGTATAACATCTGCATATATCAAGGATTTAAAAAAGTCTGATATGATTTTAGAGTCCGCATGACCAGTCACGTGACCTGCTCAAGATTGATTAGCACCGTTAAATACATAAACACACACATATGTATGTATGTATGTGTAAGTATATGTATACACACACACATATATGTATGTAATAGATCATTTCTTTAAAAAAAACTAACCATAAGTTCACCCAGGACAAGGAGCCTGTTGAACTGATGAGATGATGGATAAGATGGATTTCACAACAATATTGGTCTACTTTGTCTCTCTTCAGTTTGCTTGTTTTTTTTTTTTTTTTTTTTTTTTTTTGCAGCAGACAATATCATTCAGCTTGTGCTCAGTTTCCCTATAAGGGCAAGAAAAAGTTTCCATCAGGTAGCCACTTGTTTTTATACTGAAAGACTAATCTGCTCCAAAATGCTCCCAAGTAAAAACAGCATGATTCAAAATCCCTTTAAGCCCAGCACCTAACTTTTTCTGACTAATCTCTAGGTTCAATGGAACTGGCTACCAAGATTGCATTTCAGGCTAACAAGTGGCTTCTTAGTTAAGGCATCACAACTGAAAATGGTTATTTCAGCAATGGATGAAGGAATACCAACAAACTTCTAAGAACTGTCATCAAAAACAAAAGCAGTTTGCTTTGCCCCAGTGGCAAGCAGAAGGGATTCAGCCAATTTTCTCACAAACTAGGAAAGGATTTTCGAATTCTGAACTAGCAGTCTGTTGCTTATCACAGCAACTATATGTATAAGTTATATCATTTCAATATTCAGTGACATTTCTTATAGTTTTAGAATATATATTCTGCAGCATACTTTTATTCATCACTTGATATATTTCTTGTTTGAAAAAATTAAATATATTTTCATATATATGTGTGTGTGTATATATATATATATATATACACATATACATATATATACACACATACACATACATACATACACACATATATTTACTACCATAAAGTGAAGGTCATCTTATGTACAACCCTCCTATTGACATCAGTAAGTTCTCTTTGTATGCATCATGGGAAGACTAGCCCTGCAAATGAGTTGGGCTCTAACTATAGATATATATCAGATATATAAATATGTATCTGAATGCCAACTCCATTTCTACAGGTGTAACACAACATCTTATCAACACAATAAATGTGTTTCTATCAAAAGTATGTAGTGCAGAAAGAGATTCAAACTATTTTATAGTATCTCTAAAACTCTAGTATTGTCCCCATGATAGACAAACATACATACCTGAAATCATGGCATATATGAACTTTGTCTCACTAGATTATCTTTACCATATCTTTAGATGGTAGCTAAAATTGTCTCTGGCCAATCATGAAACCTAAAGCTAACAAATTTAAATTAATATAAAATAGACAAATGTCTCTTTTTGGTTTTTGCTCAAAATAAATTTTTTTCAGCTTAAAAAAATACTTAAGAGTAAGGAATTTATCTAATCTGTTGTTTCACATATAGAAACAATAGAATTTTACAAGAATATTTCTCTAAATTGCCTTTTCTAACCCCTCTTAATTCCACTTAATTATATTCTTTGCAAAGGCACTAAATTCTGTATCTGCTTCCTTCCTAATATTTGCTGCTCTTTAAAATGATTTCTGTAGCCTATATGAAAGGTAGTTTGTACTTTCTTAAAACAGTGTTTTAGTTTGTAAATTGGTTCTATAAAGTGATGAGGCAGTCTCTCCTATCTGTTGCTAACCAGCACGGTAAGCATAAATGATTTCTCACTCTCTGTGACAAGCCCTATCATGGACTTTCAAATGTTTGCTACTAGAAATAAAGTTCATATATTTTAACCATGGGAAAAACATATACGCAAAGAGTGAAGACCCAAATACTAAGCTCTCATAGCAAAGTGAATATTAGACAAATTCAAGAATATACAAATACCTGAATTTGATATGCATTACTCCCAAACTCAGCTATCAAAAAACAACTATCTTAACTGAGGAAAACTAAAGATAAACCTAAATAAAATACTTAAAAACTGCACACTTTCTTCTATCCACAGTTGAAAGAAAGAGGAAGGAAGGAAGGAAGGAAGGAAAGAAAGGAAAGAAAGAAGACAGAATGGAAAGCAAGGACAGAAAGACAGAAACCTGATTGAGAAAGCAAAGCAAAATTCTACACAATATTGTAAGGAAAGAAAACCCAAAGGTTATATATGCTGCAAAAAAAAAAAAAAAAAAAAAAAAGATCTAAAATAATAAAACAGGATCTTCTTAACAAACGCTGTTTTCCTACCCGTTACCATGATGATCTTAATTGAGGATGTCAAAGCTTCACCATGGCAACGGAAACTATCATCATAAAATGGTACAGTAAAAGAGATAGCTAGACCAAGAAGGTGTAGGGTCTCCTGGGAAGAGGTCTGCAGAGAGGCCCAGTGACTGGTTGTGCGGCTCAGTGTCAGGAATAATGGTTGTATGGCGGAAGGGGATGCCCAATGCCATTCTGAAAATGATGATGCTGGCGATGAGCAATGTATTCAGCATAGCTCAGGGTCATCTTTTCACTACGGTACCTGAAAGAAAGTCAGGGAAGAGAGAAGTGAACATTGAGAAATAGATGACACGTCATTGTCAGAACTAAGCGGGACTTTAGAGAAAATTTTATAGATCGGGAAACAGGCCCAAAGAGAAGCAGTGATTTGCCCAGTGTCACCAACCTAGTAAGTTGGAAAGCTGCATCCAGTGCTCTTTCCACTCTAGTACTCCTTGTTTTTATTGTTTTATTCTTCTGGCAATTTACCCCCTCAGCCCCAGTTTGCTAACAGGAAGGAACAGGGGAAAGCCAACCTTTTGCCATTATGTATGCATCTCCTTCACTTGACTATTCTTTAAAGATCTCCCATCCTTCCTTCTTTTACTATTCCTATGCTGTCCACACATCTACTTAGGTCTTGTCATTAACAACAACAACTTTTCTTCATCCCGGTATCCCGAACCCTCTCTTTCCCCCCACGTCTAGCTTTCTTTTCATTGCCACATTTCCCACAATAGTAATGTGTATTTTCTACCTTCAGCCTCCATCTCACACTACTCCTTGCCCCAGTGCTCCTTGGCTTCTGCTGCCACTCTTCCATGGAAACAGCTCTGTTGAAGGCTGTCCCTGATTCTGCTTGACCTTTGCACTATGATACCACTCACCACTCCCTTCTTGAAGCCCTCTGGTCCCATGGGTTCTCCCTCTGCCTCTGAGACTGCTCCTTATCTGTGATTGCTACTCCTACCCCTGCCTTGTAGGATTTTCCTGTTTCTATCTTCCATTCCTCTGGCTCTATACTCTGTTCCCCTCAGTGAACCCTATATCCTTCAACTATGATCTCTTTATAGATGATCCCAAAGCATCATCTCTAGCCATGAGCTCTATACACATATATTTTCAGTGACCTGCTAGACATTTTATATAGATATCCCAAGAAGCACTTCAGATCCAGAATCAGTGCATAAACCTAACGCCCCTCCTGTGGTCCCTACCTTGGTTAAAGGGATGACCTTGGTCCCTTTGATCTAGATTAAAGCCTTGATTTCCTTACTTCTAAATGTTGACTATGTCCTTTCATTTCTTCCACAATATTTTCATATCTGTCCCCACCTTTCCTCCCATCCCATTGCCAGAATGCTAGTTAAGGCCCCCACTGCACTTCTTTTAGATGATTGCCACAGATTCGTAGATAACAGAAATGCTTCCTAGCTCATTTTCCTGTTTCCAGTTCCAAGCTTATATCCCCCCAAGTCCATCTGTTTAAAATCCTTCAGTTCCTACCAATTGCCTAAAGAGTCAGGTCCAAACTTCTTAGTCTGGAACTTAAGACCCTCCTTGTTCTGATCCAACCGACTTTCTAATGACCACCTTCTCTAAGAACACTGAAAGACCACCTTAATCGAACTATTTCACATTCCTCAGAACTTGTTTGTACTTCACCACCTACATGCCTTTACTTGCAAGGTCCTCTTTAAGGGACTTCCTTTCCTCTCTCACTCTCTACCTGTTAAATATTCTACCATTCTTCAAGCCCAGACCTATATGGACTTCCTCTTTGAAACCTTCTGTTTTCCCCCACCCGCCTGAATTCCTCTTTACATACTTTATCATCTTACATCATCCATCATATTCTGCCTTATATTAATAATTGTTTTGTGCATGCCCTTCTATTCTCCACGACTGTCAACCAGCAGGAACAGATATGCAAGAATTTTCAAATGTATAACTCAGAGCTGAGAATAGTCCATTTTTAGACTACAGGCCTTCAATCTGGTTTTATGAAATTGAAATAAAAGGAAACTGCAACCCATTTTCCTACATTATTTAATATTTTCCTTTTAAAATAAGTATCCCTATTATTCCACGCCAAAACTTATTTAGCATTTGCGTTTAGCTAAATTGTGTTTGCCTGCAAGCTCTCATGGTACACTTCTGCCACTGCCAAAATTTGAAGGTTAAATTAAAATTTGAGGACTAGTTATCAGAATCCTGGGGTTCTGCTAAGCAATGTCAAAAGCTAGCCAACAGCTAATTCAGGTACTTTCTCCAATAACATAGTCTAAAGTCTCAGAGAGCTTGCTCGTACAAAGCCGGAGTAATCACACAGAGCTAAAGATGGGAAGGATGGGCTCATACATCATATGGGCTTTACTGCCAAGCAGAGTTCCATTGTATCCACCCTTAGTATGGCCCTGCCATTCATTCCCATTATGTTTCAGAAAAGAGAAGCAAATATAATTAGAGACACTAAAGAAATCAAAGGGTTATAGGCATACACGTCGAAATGTGCCGGTTAGACTTGTGCTAGAAAATGCCTTCTGTACCTGGTCAGTTTTATGGTTTTCCTGAATTCATTAGTAATTGGAGCTTTGTATCCTCCTTTCCTCAGTAAGGAGTCTATGGTCTGAATATGGTCCCATCCTGTGGAGAGTTGACCAGATAAAACATAAGTCAAGAACATGTAATAAGCACCTTTGGTTAAATGCAAAATGACTTTGTAGAGGTCAGCTATTATTGTCACCAAATGACATCAACTCCTTTGGTCCTAAAAACAATCATACAGAAGAGCTAAGATTTTATCCTGTACAGAAGCAGGTTCATCACCACACACCTTAAACTCTAGCTATCCACAATGTCTAACAACATTGGCTTCTTTATCTCAACCACATTCAAAGTCAAGGAGCCTAAGAGGCTGGCAGGAACTGCTCAGTCATGTCTCTGTAAGAAACCACAACCACTTTACTTTCCTCTAACAGTGACATCTTTATAAAAGAGGGAGAAGCCTAAATGTCATTGTGCCAAATCAGTAGTATTTAGGACTCCCACACTACCTTATGGTAATTGCTGTTCCTAATGGTATCTTCTATAATCAATCAAGTATATTTGTGTATAATAATCAAGGGCATTATTGGTATACTAATATCTGAGGCCCTCTACCTCTTATGTATGCTTTATGAAGTCAAAGATACTGCATGATTAAGACATTTTCTAAAGCAACCCAAACAAATTTTTAGGTAACTGCCTTAAAGATTAATTTTCTTGTTTGAGGGTTTAATAATATTAAATCTTGCTGTTACATATCGCACAATTATATAAACAAACATGGGAAAACCAAATTACAAATGCTTTCTGATAAGAAGAAAATTTCCATAAGACAAAAGAAAAAAAGACAATCATTTCAACTACCATGAAACTAGAACTTAGTGATGGCTAAAAATGACAAAATACTACAGAGTGAAAAGTTACTTTGTGTTACAGGGTTGGTTCATAAAGGTCTGTGTTATATCTGTGAAACAGGAAAATGTTTGTTGATTGGGAAGTGTAGACCAAGTATATAAAACTCTAATACTTCATGTATTTTCAATGCTCCCAATCTTAATGGGAAACCTACAATCATAATATTAGCAGAATGAGTGATGGCAACCACTAAGAATGAAACATTTGATATTGACAATGACAAGGAACTATGTGGCTGTCAAAGAAAATGCTGGTTTATGCTACAGCACAATATAATATAGGAAAATGGCATTTCAAATTAGTAGCAAACTGTTACCTAAATTGAAACCCAACTTTTACAAATCTTTGCTTTTTTGAAAATATACATTTATGTGTTTATGCTGTCAAACTTCAGTGCAGAAATTCAACTTCTGTGTGACTAAATCACTGATTTGATACAGACATTGCAGTGGCAGTGATGGAAGAGTCATTTCTAATCATTTGACACTGATCAATTATCAGACATAACTGCAAGGTATTGCTTTTCAATCTGTATATTTGTTTAAATTATTCACCAGATCATATGAAATAAAGTACGACAATGACCTTGCTCCTTTGCAACCTCTGGTAGGTAGGTGGCGGTGCGTTTTGATCCTTTTTCATTGATGAATTCTATTCTAATGCCATGTACACCCACCTGAAAGAAATTGGTAGTTTTATTAGTACAGTCTTCTTCATAGAATCAGAAAGAAAAGATTATAATTCAACTTTCAAGAGAATGCAATTCTTCCTTTCCCCTTGTTCTTAGAAGGACATATCAGTTTTCTTTTTCTAAAGCTTTGACTTTGGATTTGAAGGCCGTTATGATGGCCATGGAGACTGAAAACACTGATTTGCACATGCCCAACATGCGCTGGGCTATGCTATTCTTTTGGAAAACTGGAACAGCCATTCCAGGGCTGTGTGTAGAATAAGACAGTTGATGGCAAGAATCCTGCCCCCACTCCCAAATTGTGGCTCATGACAATAAGGAACTAGGCAAAGGAAACTGACTTCAAAGAGAGCAAACAGCCATCCTATTTTGCAGGTGCACTCACCACTTCAGATTAAGTTCCAAAACTTCCAGTGCTGACCCCCTCCCAAGCTGTCTAGTCCCTTTAAAACCTTGAATTGTATGTTGGCAAGCAAACACAGTCAGGTAAGACTGAAAAAAAAAAGTAATAAAAACAACCAGATCCTACATCATCATCCAGTACAGAGAGTATTTCTAAAAAACATATTATGGTTTAGAGTGGGCCAGTGGCAACCTCTCCCTCTCCATCTACACCACTGCCCTCGTGCAGTGCTGTTCAACTTAACAGCAATAAAGATTTCAAATCACTTCAGGGCAGGGTGTTTTTGCACATTCTCTTTATACTAGCCAGAGACCACTGTAACTTTTTTATGTGAAACAAACTTTTGGTGATGCCCGAGAAAAGGTAGTCTATGTAAGTGTGGGCAATTTCTTGCTAATGTTTTTGAAAAGTAATGTGTTTGTCCTTTTATTAGCATACAATCAAAAGATATTTGACCTTCCTCCTCATATCTCACATAGAATAGTGTATAGAGCTAAAGATCATTAAAAGTTCTTAACTTCTTTGTAAACATTGATAGTTAAAATGAAATTTCCAAAACACAACAACCCATTCTGTTCTCCCAAATCTGTGGTTGCCTCAGATCAGTGGTTCCCAAGTAGAGTGTCAGGTTGTCCAAGGTACTGGAGGGAAGATGTAAGACCAGGTAAACATTATTACCCAGGATGGAGGCTTCTTATCCGAGCAGGTGAGTGAAGTCATAGACCTTTATTCTTTCCATCTGTATGGATGTAAAGGTCTACAAGAGGAAAAGGGGTCAATGAAAACCTCTTTTGTTTCTTCTGCCTGAAATTTTCCAATTTTTCAGGGAATAAAAAGTTCTCTGGGAAATCCATTTTATTTTTTACCCAGGTCTTCACACATTCAGCCATTAGAGCCTGTCAGATCTTCTGAGCAGTTTTTGTTTTTTATTAAAGCATATCTCTGTGGCTATTTCTTTTATCTATTTAATATAAGTATTCTTATGAATCTTCTTTGGCTAAAAATGCAACCAGGGCAGCTGTTTAAAAACTAACACAATAAGGCCTCCCATACCCTGTGGGAAATGACCATGGACAGCTGAGAAGAAATATGAATGCTTGGCTATCAGGCAATTCCAGGATAAAGGACATCTACTAATCTCCCCAGTGCCTGACATAGTACTGAGACAATGACAAATTTGCAACATTTTCTGTATACTGACTTCCTGATCAGTGACTTTGAATTTTTTTCCTTTGACAATATCAGATTCTTCATAATTTGTTTTTTAAAATATACAGTGTAAGTAATTTATGCTCCATCATTCACTGAAGTGAATTTTGATTCTTCTACTCTATTTATCAAAAATCTGTCATGTTAAAATTGAAAAGAATTTTAGTGTTTATTAAGGTGTCTAGTCAAAATTGGGAGAGGAAGAATGTCTCCCTATTTGTGAGATGAGAATGTCAGACGAAATCAGTGATATTTAACTGGCATGGGGTGGGGATGGGGCTGTAAAATTTATCAGAATTTAAGGGAGGTTTCATGCTTCAGCAAGTAAAATTTAAAAGAACAACTCCCCAGGTGATTTTTATTCTAGCTGCACTAGATAACCTCTAATAACCATTCTAGCTCTGACAAATTGTGGCTACGTATTGAAAAAAAAAGTGATTTAGGCAAATGGGGGGTAATTTAGACACATAATTCCTTTCTTCATAGGAGTACATTCTGTGTTCTTCAACAAAAATGTCAGAGATTTTAAAGCCTCATAATTTACAATTAAAAGAGGTTAAGACTAATTGTAGGCTATGTGAATATCTTAATAAAGCTGCTTTTATATATGTGTACACACACACACACACACACACACACACACACAAGTATATATGTGGTTAGACCAAAATCAAAGGACATGTTGACCAAAATAAAATTCCTCACAAATAAGACTGCTCTATTTACTTTTGTATTTTGAGAAGGACCACTATCAAATTTGATAAAATAGGAGAATTTTGATTTTTTTCTTAAGTACCACATTTACAACTTTTAATTCCTTTTTGGGTTCCTATGATTCTGAACAGTTGAAAGCCTCTGTAAATTGAACTGTAGGTATGGTGATTTTAAAGTGATTCCTTTGTGAGAAATAACTTTTTTCATAGGTCAAAAACATACTCCAGAAAGCAAAGCCAAAACCAGAGTGACTCATTTTTTCAACTAGTAGAATCAGAAGCATGGTAATAACGTTCTTAACAGAATCAAAGCATAATAGCTTTTTGTCACCTGTTGAGCAACAGCATTTTCTTTATTTCTAGATCCACAGACGCCACCAAATAGTCATACTGCACAATGAAAACAGGAGAGTGGAAAATGGCCTGCTGTGGAGAAGGACCGATTATGGCCAACCTGTGGAAATCACTGGGTTTGCAAATTAAGTCATCTCCACTGAAATGAGCACCAAAACTAATTCCATATTGCTCCAGGGAGGCATCTGTCACAGCTGCAACTCCAAAATGTAACCCTCATGCATAATAATTAAATCCTCCCTTACACAGACTGGAGAAGCCTTTGGCCCAGCAGCATCCCAAGGGACAAATGCTATGGTGGCAGTTATCAGCTAGGTAAGAGATCAGCTAACCAGAGAACTGGGATTCCCTGAAGCAGACCTGCTCTAAAACTCTATCACAGTAACTTTATATTTCTAAGGATGGATTAGGAGACAGCATATGGGAAAACTATCCTACCAAACATATCTCTAGCTAATCCTACCACTGTCCAAAGTACAGCCAGGTGGGAAAAAACTAAAGTCTTGCAAATCTAGCCTTATGGGAGTCTGCAGGTCCTTTTCAAAATTATTAGGTCTGAGAAAAAGAAATGCTTTCAAGGTCCATTAGCTGTGATAATATTCTTTTAATCAAGACTGTACTTTTGCTAAGCAAAGCTATAAATCAACTCGAATCGTAGTAAATTAAATGCAGGACTTATAGATAAGAGGATATGGAATTAAACAGAGCTGTATCTGTGTGTGCTGAGAGAACATTAAGACCAATTCAACAGATTCCTATTTCATGCTAAAAAGAAAGCCATATTTATTCTGAACCATTCCATAGCAAGTGATTTTTATTAATGCTATTATACAATCTTTTGTTTTTAACATTGTTCAGAATGATTAAATATCAAGATTAATGTTAAGACCCTAAAATATATCATAATTATTCTGGGGTTGATTATCCACTTTGGGGATTGTGGCATCACCATCTCCACCTGGCCTCGCCATCTCCACCTGGCCTCCACCGCATCCTCTTTCCTCTCTTGTCCATTTCTCTATTTGTTCACTCCTCTATCAGACAGCATGTGGGCACAGAAAGAAGAGATACATACAAATTAATCAATTTTGCTACAAAGTAAAAGGTTTGGTAGGAGAAGAGATTATAAATAATGGCTAAAATGAAGCTTTGAGACTGTCTACAGATTTCATTTATCCTCGTTATCTGGTCCCTTGTTAGAAATGTGGCATCACTTAAAACTATTATCCTCTAATGCAGTGACCCTCAACACAAGAGCATTTTTTAAAAGTGCCCTCTCCCACTCCATTATAATACATGGCCCATATTATGTGTCTCACAATTGCATAGTCAAAGCTTAATATACCCTAGTCTGTCTATAAGGCAAGTGTTAGTCCTGTAATCCACTAGCAGCAGTACAAAAAGGTCTCACTCTTATTTGTGAATCTGATCAGCAAGGCAACAATCTGAATATGCTGAAATGTGAAAAAGAGTCATCTGGCTAAAAGCAGAAATGAGTATAAAATGTGCTCTGGCTAAGATGAGTAGGCTCCATGCAAACCTTTGACCATTTGGGTCCACAATTACCTCCACAGTCTTGACCCTCAAAGCTAAATCTTCCTGTGATCACATCCTGGCAAAAAGAACCAATGCCCTTCCTCAGGTGACAACCTGCCTTAGTAAATGCCACAATCAGTCCTACTCTTCCCAATTTTTAGAACCAAATGCTGGTTTTCCCTGTAACAATATGGCCATGGCTTACTTCACCAATTTTCAGGGAGTTCATCTTGAAAAACAAAAAATATCAGGAGGTCAAAGAGTCGAAAGTTGTTTGACATGTCTTTTTGGATGAACTCTTTTGGCAAAATATGCTTTGCAATTAACAAGGCAGCCAGTTACTGGCCATTCACATAAGGCTGACCTGCCAGGCTCAATATGCCAGTCCCATTGAATTGAATGAAAGGACTCTGTTCCTAATGAGAGCAGTTCAGGATGTTTGGCTCACCCCCTAACCTTCAGAGGCAGCATCCCAGAAAACACGCGTGCTCTCTCACAAAACAGCCCTGGGTACCACGGACAGAAACAAACAGTGCATTGGACTATCCATGGGTCTGACCCAGAGTCTGGCGTTTCTTATATTCTTAGGAGGAAAAAAACCATATGTGCTATTTCTCCTAAAAGCACAAAACCCACAGTGTGGTGCATTCCATACTTGCACTCATCATCCCACAGTACCTTCTGCCCCACCCCTGCTCAGCCTTCTGAAAACAGTGACTCTTCTTTTCCCCAGTAAAACAAATTAAACATAAATAAGGAAAATACTTCAG